CAGCTGCGTTGTTAGAACTAGACCGTTGTTTCCAGAATGCCCGGACAGGGGAGAGCATGCACCCTGACGGCAAGAGCACAGAAGTTACTTTTACCCTCTCCGTGTGATAGCCGAGGAAGCCGCGGCCCAAGGCACGCGGTTACTAAGGGCGGAGCTGGGTGGGTCTGGAGCCCAGATCAGCTAACTCCAGAAGCCAGATTCTCACCGCTTCGTGGGAGGCCATGCCGAAGCACCGGGCAGGGGAGGCGAACCCAGACGTGGGTCCCCAGGGGAGCTCCCACGGGCCTCCATGCCAGGGGCACAGCTGAGCCAGCTAGAGCCGGGAAGGGGCCTGGACGCTGAAGGAGAAGGAAGCTCTCAAAACAGGAGCCTCGTCATTGAGGCTTAAAAGAAATGACTCGTGTTCTCACGGAGTCGGCCATTTCAGGCTTGTCCTCCACAAAGCCCGTGTTCCGAATGGAGGCCTGCCTTATCCAGCCCCTCCTGCATCCTCTCTGGAGCCCCAAGATACCTGGGTGCCCCAAGACGAGGGAGGGGAACCTCACTATTTCAGCAGCAACAATTCCTGGCCACACTAAGCCTCTTTGTGCTCAAACACCCAAAGGGTACAGGGGTGAGGGAGATGGGGCGTTTCTGGCTTTGGCCAAAGGAGTCATGGCGGTTGTTGCTTAATAAGGTCTTTAAATGATCTCAGTAGAGAGGAAACTAAACACTTAGTGCCATGGAGGGTGGCTTATTGATGGGAGGAGAGAGGCTCTGGCCTGCTGTCCTGGCTGGGTGGGAGCCAGGCCAAGCCCCCGGGGCGGCTGCCAGGCTGTGAAGTATTAGGAGAGGCTTCCTGAGCTGGGCGAGAACCCAGCTCGTCCCAAAGTGGCCTCCTGACTTCAGGGACTGAGTTTCAGAGTTCGTTGTCTCCCTCTGACCATGTGGTTAGTAGGAAAGGGGAAAAAGCCAGAGGAATGGGCGTTAATCCGGCTCACCCAAGCTGTGGCTGTCACCCATGGCTCTGAGGCCCTGCCTCTCTGCGCTGGGTGAGAGCACGGAGCCCACGGGCCTGGTGGAGCTCACGTGAGACAAATTTGTGAAAGTGCTTTGTAAATTGTAAATCTCCACAGGAATCGACAGTAGGTTTATTTTTGGTGTTTTTGTTATCCTAAGTAGGGTTGAGTTGCTCTTCTGCTTAAAAATCTCCGTGGCAGAAAAAGGAGCCCTCCTACCCTGCTGGTGGGAAGGCAAACTGGTCCAGCGGTTAAGGGGGAGGATGTCGTAAAGGAATTCTGCAGAGTCTTGTGGACTCCACCCCCTACTCGGGCTTTCTGAATTCCCCCACCTACGCCAGGGATTGGAAACTACAACTCCCAGCAGCACCAGGGAGAGAACTGCGAGGACCCAAGGGCGGAGCTAAGCGGCATTCTGGGACATGGGGGATAAACAGGGCGCCATTTGGTCTCTCGCAGTCTCGCCTGGAAATGGCTCTCCGGGCCCTGTGACTCGGGGCTTTCAGTTAGTTACCAGAGCGCCAAGTCAGCCCAGCTGGTAAGATATTTCAGTTGTTTCCTTTTCTTTTCCCCTTTTGTAAATAAACCCGTTACTGACCCTTCTGTGTGTATCTGCAGTACAACTGAATTCTAAGTGCTGGTGAAGCCTCACAGACAGGGGCCCAGGGCACACTGGGGTGCCTTGTAACAGTTTTTGGCACTCAGCATGGGCCTGCCTAGTTTATGCCCGTGGCCACGGTTGACCAGCCCAGGCACCTTGCGTTGGTCACTGTAAGCGCAGTAGTCTGCAGGACATGGCTTCATTGTTTCCGGTCATGAGAACTTATTTTTCTCTTTGTATTCAGCTCTTTCTCTTTGTATTCAGCGCCCGCTGATGTTTACCACAATGACTTTGACCAGTTTTTTTTCCTAGTTTAGGCTCTTTTAGTTTTATTCTGGCCTTGAGTCTCAGTACCTTTTTCCCATGGACTATCACCACCTGTTTTATAAATATCAGTAATCTGGTGAAACCTGGTTTATGGCAAATGCTGTTGCTTTTGTTCTCCTCTCTGGGTGGCTCTGGGTGTTTTGCAGTCTGTGCTTCTGGGCGTCTTCTTGATACTTTTTATCTATATTATTTTTTACATTTTCTGCTTTCTGAGAGGAAGTGGAGGGAACCCTGCTTCTTCCACGACAAATTTGCAACAAATTCAGGCTTTTACTGAAAATATGCAGCAGCAAATGCAAGCCCTTAATTCGGTTATAACCAGTATGAAAAATGAGAATCAGATTGTCATTGACTATTTATCAAGCTATGCAAGTCCAGATACAAGGTGCCTTCCATAAATTAGACATGGCCCAGGATTGTATCATGGCAGAGAACGGGTGGTAAGCCTCTCCCTGAGGACCACGGGAGGGCAGAGTCAGAAGAGAAGGATTATTACTTGCTCAACACCTTAAACCCTTCAGGAAAGAATTGTTCCCTGCATAGCAAACCCCTCCTGTAGAAACTCCTAAGGCCTCCCAGCCTGCCCTGCCCTCTGGAGAAGGAGCATGCTTTCTCCTTCCCATACTAACGGGGCACCCCTTTTGGAAGTAAGAATCGCCTTGACGCAGGGCAGTTCCCTCTTATACGTATGGCAGTGGGTGGTTTAAATGCACAAGGTCAGCCTGCTGGCTACTTTCGGTCACACCATCCTTTTCCACAGCAGACCTTCTAAACTGGAGGAGCTCTGTTCCTTCTTATAGGCAGGACCGACCCTACGAGGATGGTGAACTTGTTTGCCTCCTTCTCTCTCTCTCACTGTCCTAATTGGGCAGATATCCAGTCAATGTTGTAAACTTTATTGACCTCAGATGAGCAAAGGGTGGTTTTTAAGAAAGCCAGGGAGGAAACTGATTGCCTTCACCAACAGGATGTAGAATCCCCAGAACCAGACATGGCTATCCCGATAGTAGATTCCAACTGGGACCCCAATGAAGGTGATACGGATATGTTAGAGCTCCATAAAAAGTGTTTATTGGTAGGGCTGCAGCAGGGGATTCCCAAGCAAAAGAATTTTAATAAAATTCTGCAGCTTGAGCAGAGGGCTAATGAGGATCCATCAGAGTTCCTTGAACGAATTATCTAAATGAATGCCAGACACACAGATATAAATCCAGATGCCCCAGAAAATGCTCGTCTGATCACTATGGCATTCATTACACATAGTGCCCCAGACATCAGGAGGAAATTAGCAAAGGTGGATGGCGTTAACAAGATGAGTCCATCCCAGTTAGTAGACCTGGCATTTCGAGTGTATAATAATAGAGAGGAAAAGAGACCTAAACCTGTGACTGTTTTTGCACAAAGGCAACATAGAACAGTTTCAGAGTAACAGTAACAGAATGGCAGGTGGACCCATGAGACACTCTAGGATGGAATCAGTGTGCCTACTGCAAGGGCGAGGGACATTGGAAGTATGAATGCCCCAGATTACAGGTAAACAGGAGATGTTATAATGACAGGACCATGATTCTCGCAGAGGTTATAGGAGAGAGGACAGACAGCACACAGGATCCAGACCGAGGAAGGAGGAGATGAGACAGATGATGGCTCAGAGCAGAGACTCAGATGCAGAGAGGAAGAATGCAAATAGGGTACCAGAGATCAAGTGATGAATACTGAGGAAAGGAGACAAATGATGGTATACACTGGAGATTCAGATGAAGAATAGGGGAGCCCAGAGGATCTACTAGATCTCAAACGATCCACTAAAATACCCCTCTTGTGAACTTATTGATGTTCTGGCATATGTATTTGGGGCAAAACACAAAAATTTAACTTGTAGTAACACAGCCACTTGGAAAGCTCTGTGGGGGTTCCTCACATTACTAAAAACAATCGACCATAGGACCCACTCCTAGGAATCTACCCCAAGGTTTCCAGAAAGAAACCTGCTTTCCTGTATTTATTGCAGCCCTATTTACAGTAGCCAAGATATGGAAACAACCTAAGGGCCCAAAACCAGATGACTGGATCAAGAAGATGTGGTCTATATGCACAATGGAATATTACTCAGCCATCAAAAAGATAAACCCATGCTACTGGCAGCAACATGGATGGAGCTGGGATTATGCTCAGTGAAATAAGTCAGAAGGGAAAAGAAAAATGTCAGATGGTTTCACTTATAGGAGGAATATAAGGAAACCGAACAGAGGGTCAAAAAAAGACAAAACTTTCAGGAAAACCATAGATCTGAGACTGCGGCAGGGGAAGGGAGAGGAGAGGGTCAGTACAAGGGAGGAAAGAACACAAAGGACTAGAGATGGTTCACGGTGATATGGTGGTGAGAGATTTATGGGGTCTACACCTGTGGGGAGAAATCACGTTCGTACAAAAATGAACAACAATGTAAGAAAAAAAAATTTAAGACTCAAAAATAAATACTAAAAATATGTAAAAATAAATAAACCTCTCCATGGCTTCCCATGGTGCTTGGGGTAAAAGCTGTTCTTGCGTCCTCATGGCTCACGGGCGCTGTGTGACTGGCCTCCTGCCTGCCCCACAGCTTCCTCATGTGACGTCCCCTCCCTCACCGTGCTCCCGCTGGCCCCCCAACTGTTCTAGTACAGGCCGGGCTCCCTCCTCCCACAGGGCCCCCCGCTTTCAGCTCCCGCAGCCTGGTGCAACCCTCCCCAAGTGTTTTCCTGACTGGATTCTTTGACCTCAGATCTCAGCTCCAGTGTTACCTCCTCAGAGACCCCTTTCCTGGTCACCTTCGCCCCACCTGGCCCTGCACCTGTTCCACTCTTTTCATGGGAATAACCAAGGCACAGTGTTTCTGTCATGTTGCTCAATTTTGGTCTTGCTTTGCAGGATGTGGGCTCTGCGGCATAAGGATCTTGCCTGCTTAATTCTCTCCCTGGTGTGGCACAGCCTTGGCCAAGGAGGGGGTGACCGCACAGGCAGATGGCCGGTAGGGCAGCCTGGCACGTTTCCCTGGGGACCCCGCCCCTCACACCTGTTTCTCTCCCTCTCAGCTATGGAGACATGGTGCCCAAGACCATCGCCGGGAAGATCTTCGGCTCCATCTGCTCCCTGAGTGGCGTCCTGGTCATCGCCCTCCCGGTCCCTGTGATTGTTTCCAACTTCAGCCGGATTTACCACCAGAATCAGAGAGCTGATAAGCGGAGGGCGCAGAAGGTGAGCCTTGGGCGCGGGGGCTGCCGAGAGGGGCTTTGTGCTGGCGGTTGTGGGTCGGACAGCCAGCCGGGCTTCCTCCATGGCCCTGGCACAGACGGCCCCTGGCTCGAGAGGTCAGGCAGCTCCGGACCAACTCCCTCCAGAGTCCTCATGCCAACTCCAGACCCCCAGTGTCCACGGGCTGGGGAGCTCCCTCTGGGTTGTTCTCTGCAGCTTCCTTGGTGCAGACCCCTCCATGGCCACCGCCACCCCGCTGGGAGGTGTCCTGTACTCTTTCCTTTCCCAGCCAAGAGCTTCCTGGGGAGCACAATCTTTTTTTTTTTTAAAGATTTATTTATGCATACAGAACTGGGGTACAGGCCAGAGGGGCAGGAGGGTGAGAGGCTTCACCAGAGACAGAGTGGGGGGCAGAACAGGCAGATCAACGAAGTACACTGCTGAGGGGAGCAGCGGGCGGGTCAGGAGAGGTCTGCCGCGCCCTGTGGTCAGCTCCGGGGCAGGCGGGGATCGAACTCATGCGGAAGTGGCTTTAGCTTCTCAGTGCTGTGCTTTAACCCGCTGCGCCACCAGGGAGGGCCCCACAATCACTTTTTAATCCCCTGCAAGAGCCTGTACAAAACATCATGACAAAAATAACATTTTCTGAAAAGAAAAATGAACCATGAAAGGAGAACGTTCTGAGGCCATTAAGCCAGGGACAAACAACAGCCGAGGCATTAGACCCGTGGGGTCTTGCAGGGTCAGGGCCCCGGCCGCAGCTGGGGCAGCTGATGGTCAAGAGAAAAACTGAGTTTCCCATTTTGTCCAGCATATGCTCGTAAGAAGGCGGTGGAGGCGAGAGACCCTCACTGGCCCGCAAATGAGAAAAAGCGCCGAAGGCTTCGGGCTGGGGGAAGCCTGCTGTCCACGCGGGCACCTGGCCAGTGGGGCTCTTAGGTTCTCAGGACTTGACTTTTACCACATTCCTGTCAGGGAAGGGTGGGCTGAGGGGGGTCTGTCGTTTCTCTTCTGATCTGGCCTGAAGTAGGGCACCCTCCAGAGTCCCCAGGCTTCAGGGTCCAGGCTTTCAGGACACCGTGGAAAGGTTTGCTTATGGTGCAGTGATTCCCCTTTGTTCTTCATTCATTCATCCACACATTTACTGAGCCCCTGCCGCGAGGCCCTTGCGCTGCAGCTGGGTTGTTTGTTTCCTCCCCACTGACACCTGCTAACAAGCTTCCACTCTCAGGCATAAGCCCAGGCAGCAGAGCTTCCTGAACCCCAGGGGAATCCAGAACTTCAGAAGGGATGGGTGTGTGCTGACTGAAAGAAGTCACAGAGTCATGCAAGCTAGCACCAAAATACACACTTACAAACAATAATGCAGTCGTAAAATGTAAACTGCATGATGAAGCAGGTGCTTCCCACTTCCAGCTATCTCCCCACACCGTACCCCCAGTGCCGTGTGATTACCTCTTCCTCTTTCCTGCCCTCTGACTGTGCTGCAAAATGTTTGACTTATCCTGACCTGGGTATTGTAAGGTTGCAGCTGGTCTTACACAACTGACCCTCTGGTGGGAGCGGGGAGGGGTTTTGGGGAGGGAGGCGCCATCCTCTCCCTCCCCTCCAGCACCCACTTTCTACCTCTCACCCAAGGTCAGGGCTCCCCACCCCCAATCCCTGCAGGCCATCTCAAAATAGAAGTCTTATCTCTTTCCCTATTCAAGTCAGCTGGCAAATGTGAACAATATCTGAATTCATTATTCAACCTTGAAGAAAGGAGCAGAGAGAAGCCAGGGTCCCCTTTGCAGGTCCAGGAGCCTGGGGGCCAGTGGGGGCTCCTGGAGCAACCCACCCTCGGGGGCTCAGCTGGTTCACCTACTGGCAGGCTCTGCCGGCTGGTGTCCCTGCAAAGAACACAATGGACTTTGGGCTGCCCCCCCCCAACCCTGGACTTTGCAAAGCTCACCCCGTGTGACGAAAGCCCAGAAGGAATCAGCTTTGGCCTATTCCTTCCTAAAGATGAGACTCTGCTCCTCCTCCCCTCTCCCGCTCCACTCTCCCTTTGAAATCAGAGTAAATATTTACAGTGTTTTCACCTAGCCTGGATTCTGTCTCTCAAGGTTGCTCAGCCCTGTGTCACCTTGGGCTTCCTGTGAGGAGGGAGAGAAAATATATGTAAGAAAACGCCTTGCTGGCAGCTGGGAGTCTCTCTCCTTACGGCAAGGGAGGCAGGTGCCAGGACTCAGTGAGAGAAGAGTGGTGACATGGCGGAGGCAGAGGGCAGGGAGCCAGTGGCCACTGCTAGCCCAGCCCTGGTAGGTGAAGGTCGGCAGTGAGCGCGCTGGACATCAAGGCAAGCGGAGTTTATTTGTGCTCTCTCGAGGTTCAGGGACTCAGAAAAGGGAGTCCAAGAAGTCGCGTCCCAGAGCAGGGTAGGGGTGGTTTATGCTCAGGGGTCCGTGAGAGGGAAGAATTGCTTTTCGGAGTACAGTTCCGGAAGTTGTTTGTGCCGTTACTGCAGATGCCTGTCGAGGACCATCAGCATCGGCCGCCCCCAGCTCCGGCTGCTGCGGTACAGATCCTGGGGTCTGTTCCCACTCCGAGGCCTAGCAGTAGGCAGGACCTGTGTAGCCACAACGGGAAGCTCCAGCCCACAGGCCCTGCTGAGGGAAAGGCTCACCCAGAAGGCCTCCTCCACCGCCATCACTAGTATCCTTGGGATCATTGCCATGATCCCTCCAGGCCTCTTGTCTTTAGCAAGTGTATTCTCTGGCCCAAGTACCCTGCGGTCGGGTAAGGACTTCTAGCTGTGGACACAGAGGCGGCACTGGGGTGGGGGATTTGGTCCCCACTCCACTGTGGTGCCTGAGTTCATGAAAGCTCACGCCAGAGCCTGGGGGTGCCAGGAGTTAAGTCTTAGCACTGTGAAGCTCCCCGCAGCCACAGTGGCACTGAGTTCGATCCCCGGCCAAGGAGCTGACCCTCAGGGTGCGGCTGACCTCTGCTGCCTGGCCTGATGTCATTTTTTGGGGTTAGTGGACTGGAGTGCTGGTCCTTGGGTTCACGCAGGAAAAGCTTTCAGCAGCCCACCCTCCCCTTCCAGCGTGAGTCTCCTGGGCGAGTTTCTCCATGACGCAGAGATGTTAGTTATATTTAAAGAGCAGGTTTATTAGAAAAGGGACAGAAAAGTAAGACACCTGTACAGGTGCAAGCAGGCAGGAAGAGCTGGCCCCTGTGGGGTAGTTTAGGTTTTGGTAGGGAGGGGCTCATCTCAGTGAGCTGTCGGTGAGGTGCTGATTTTGGGCAGCCACTTAGGGTCCTTCCACAGACTCCATCGCCGATATTTCCTGTTGGGCCTGCACTCTGGACACCACCTAGAGCAGTCTGAGCCGGCCTGGGTCTTATGCTTGTAAACTAGGACCTGGGTTTCTAAGCTGGGTCAGTGGCTATGCTAGTCCCTTCTATCCCTCCTCGCTGTGTGAGTCTTCTAATGCTGCTCCCCTCAACAGGGTATTTCAGTAGATCTGCTTATTCTGCTCCCCACTCTGTCTCTGGTGAATCCTCTCGCCCCTGTACCTCTGGCCTACACCCCAGTTCTTGTATGCATAGATAAAATGAGTAATATATATATGCATAACTCTGGCCTTTGGTAGCTCAAAGTCAAACCAAAACTCCCCACCGAATTTCATCTGCCCGGTGTGGTTCCGTAAATACATTGCCAACCTCTTTATCCTGTGTAGGAAATGATTAAACGATACAGTGCATTTGATATGACAATCTGTTGCTTTAATAGAGCCCAGGGTAAGATAAGATTAAAAGAAGTGCCACAAAGGAGAGCAGGAGAATCTTTCATCTCTAGAAAGTAATGAAGACAGACCCCAGATATGAGAAAGGTCTGGCTCTAAGTGGTGCAATCAAATTATGTAAGGCCGTAATGAGTTTGACACAATTGGATTTCCATATACAGCTCAACACCCAGCTCTCACCCAAAGCAAAACAGCCAGCGTCCTCCACTGATGAGGCCCTTGCTTGGATGTAGCTAGGGAGAGGGGTTGCAGCAGGACCCCGGGAAGGAGATTCGTTGTGGACCTCCAGTGGATGCACTTTGCCCAGGAAGTAGAGAGATGGGGCGCAGAGCCCGCTGGCTCGCCCAGGTCCCCGCGGGCTCTCCACCCAGGAGGGGGTGCGCAGGCCTCTGCCCCTACTCCGGCAGTGAGCTGAATTGGCCCGGCAAGAACGGGCTGGCAGAGGACTTCCCAGGGGACAGGAGACGGTGTCCCTGCCCCGGGGATCTGAGTCCCTGGTCTCTCTTGGTCAGATTAACCTGCCCGCTGGACACCCACGGGGACCTTCCCCGCGTGAGGGACAGGAAATGGATGTTGCCAGTTTCCCACCGCTCTTCTCCCCAGAGGCCTGGCAGGGGTGACTTCCCAGCACCAGGAGGAGGGACCCTTGCACCCCGAGGATGGAGGATTGCTCAGCCAGTGTGGCCGGCGCTGTCCCCAGTAGCAGGACCTGCAGCGGGTCTAGATGCCCAGGCGCTAGCTGCAGGTCTTTAAAGGCGTGAGAGCGCCTCTGGCCGCCCCTCTGCCTCTCGGGAGACTCCTCTGCGCAGGCGGCTCTGGGTCTGTGCTGCCGTCATGGCGGCCCTGATTAGGGTTATTAGGCGGAAGGGCAGCCAGCCCTGGAGCCTCCAGCCTCTCCTCTGCCCCTGCAGCCGGAGCACTGGCGTCGGGGGCCAGCGTCCTCCTGCAGCCCCGCCGAGGGGCTCCCTTTCTCGTCGGGGCCAAGGCGGCTGTGAAGCCATGTCGTCTCCTCACACGTCGGGCTCGTCCCGCGCACGCACGACTGGCGCACGCCGCAGGATGCGCTGACATGCCTGCACGTGAATCCCACTTGCTCCTGGGAGCCATTTACTGACTCAGAACTTGCCAGGCACCCAGGGCATAGCCATGTGCAAACCACCCCTGCCCTCAAGGGGCCCAGTGGGGAGCAGGAAAATGCGATGGTTAAGGGAAGCAGGAAGGGCAGGAGCCAGGGCACTGGCCCACTCCTCGCTGTCCTCCTGGTTGACCCAGATGTAGGCCCCTGCTGTGTCCTCCTGGCTGGTGCCAGGTGCTGAGCCAAGAACTGCTCCCACCGGACACTGAGCACACAAAGGTCACAGGCCTTTGGAGAGGGCGGACTCTGGCGCGAGTTTCTCCTGTCTGGAGACAGCCTGGCTGGAGACGAGTGGAAATCCCTGGGAACTGCTGTGACCACGCTGTGCACAGGGGGTTCGCAGCCTCTCAGACCCAGCCCCGGGGCCTGGAAACAGACCCACGAGGCTGGGGGGAGCGGGTGCCGGCTCCGTCACACGAGCTCCGCAACACACCCCAGCAGGTGGGCCCAGCTGCTGTAGGCCCTGGGGTCTTTGGCCGGGTCTCCCTCACGCTTCTTACCTCTGCCAACCGCAGAAGGCCCGCCTCGCCCGGATCCGCGTGGCCAAGACCGGCAGCTCCAACGCCTACCTGCACAGCAAGCGCAACGGCCTCCTCAACGAGGCGCTGGAGCTGATGGTAGTGTCGGGGCCAGGCTGGGGCGGGAGGGGAAGGGCGGGGACTGGCCCGGGGCAGGAGGGGGCACCAGAGTTCCCACCCTGAGCCCCAGTTTGCACCATGAGGATGTATTTCAAATGTTCCCCAGGTGAAGGCCCCCACCCACATCTCTCATAGGATTAGCAACACCAGGGCTCCCAGCCTGACGGCTAATATGGGGTAAAGTGCCCTGCAATTTGGCCCATTCAGATTTTCGGGTATCTCCCTACCTTTTGTGGAGCAATGAAGAGCTGGAGAGGACCACCCAGGCCCTGTCTCAGTCTGGCCTTTGCTTACCAGGGTACTCCGGAAGAGGAGCAGATGGGCAAGACCACCTCACTCATCGAGAGCCAGCATCATCACCTGCTGCACTGTCTGGAAAAAACCACTGTGAGTCCCAGCCATGACCACCTCCTTCCTCGCCCCTGACCCGACCCGGCCTCAGGGTCAGCACCCCGGGACTCACCCCCTCACCTGGGTCCCAGCTTCAGAAATGTCCCCCTTGCATGGAGAAGTGGTGGCGAGGGGTCTAGCAGCTCTCAGGAAGAAGATGCCAGCAGTGGGAGACCACCAGGCTGGGGGCGAGCTGCAGGGCCGGCACCCCGAGTTCTTCCTGCACACCCTGTAGTCTCCAGGCCCCGTTTCCCAGGGGCCGAGGGCTGGGGCGCTGCCTGTCAGTCTGGGGCCTGTGGGACCAAGCCTGGGCAGTCTGCTCTGGGTGCAGAGAGTAGCCAGAGCTTCCACCTGCGTCCTGTTCCGGGGCTCGGGTGGCGCACCTGTGGGTCCCGCTGCTCTCTGCTCCCCTCTCGGGCTGCAGCGAGTGAGTGAAGGAGGCGGTGCACCTGTCCCTCCAGCCAGGAGTTTTACCAGTCGCCCTGCAGCCCACAGGGAGGCCACTCTGAAAGGCAGATTGTGAAGACAGCCTTGGTGCAGGGCGCCGCGGCTGGCTGTGGAATGATGCTTGTGCACCTCCAGCAGGCCAGAAGGGAGGGCAGTGGGCACCCTGGACCCTTTGGCAAAAAGTGTGAGGAGCAGAAAGGAGGGAGGAGAAACAAAGTGAAAGCGCCTCCTGGTGCTTCTAGAACCTCCCTCCCCAGGGAGCCTAGTCAGGCTTAGCACACTCGAGGAGGAACATTCTACATGTTCCGCACCGCCCTCCCGGCCGCAGAGTAGACACTACACGACTCGGCCTGAGCCCCGTGTGGCCACGTGGGCGGGTGAAGCTAACGGGAATTTCCAAAACGGAAGCACTCGTTGCCAGGCCTTCTCGGCTGTGTGTGCTTGTCTAGCATCTCCCTCAAAGGCTCAGCGCTTGCCAAAGGGGCAGACCCAGGCCCGACTGCCCCTCCCAGGTTGCACGTGCTACATGAATGCGTCTGTGGAAAGGACACGGACACGTGTCCGTGGAAACACCCGGGTTTGAAGGGCTGGAATGCTGGCATTGGAGAAATGAGATTTTGGAATGGAGGGCTGGAATGCTGGCACCAGGGGGGTGGAATGCTGAACTTAAGGGCGGCAATGCCAGTCGGGGGTGCTGGGGTCTCCTGGAATGCTGGGATTCGGGGGAGGAATGTCGGGATGGAGACTGAACGTTGGGCTGGATGGAGTTGAGCGGGTTGCGTTGGAGCCGAGGGCAGGGTGTCTGAGGGTGTCTGTCGGGCGGAAGGAGAATGCTGGGGGGAGGGGATGGAATGCCGGGGTGGAGGAACTGACTGTCACCCCGAGCTCGGGAATGCCGGAATGTACAATCAATGGTGTTTTTATCTTCTGTTGGCATGTTGTCCGCAGGGGTTGTCCTATCTTGTGGATGATCCCCTGTTATCTGTACGAACCTCCACCATCAAGGTATAACTTTTTAAAAATTCACTTACTGTTTTCTCTCTGGTTCTTCTGAGTCTGTGGATTCTTCTCTTCTTAGTCCAGTCTGAGTCTCTGCATGTGCTGTTGGTTTCTCCTGGGCTTACCTACCTCTGCGTCACGCCTCCACCAGCTCAGGCTTCCAGTTTTTTTGTGCTGAACTACGCAACTGCCTTTCTGATTCCTTCTTAGACCTGCCTGGGGGCTCGGAGGGGGTGGTGGAACATGGCACCGGCGCTAGTATCCTGAGTGCCCACGTGCCACACCTGCCTGCCCCACCCAGCTCCCCAGGCCTCCAGGGGTTGGCTGCCGGGGTGGTCTGTCTCCGGCTGTTTCCCCGCGCCTCTCTACAGACTTCCTCTCACAGCCTTGCCAGACCACTAAAGCCCAGATCCTAAGTCACCTTGCCCAAGTGACCCTTCTTTTACTGTCCTGGATTCGGTTCCAGCCCACCCTGGCGGCATCCAGTCCGAAAGCGGTTAGCACTCTCACCCAGGTGTACACCTGACAGGGAATTGTGTCTCCTGGAGTATTAAGGATCCGCGTCCCACAGTCACAGTGGGGGGAAAACAAAACAATAAATCTCATCCCCGACCATCTGACCTCAGCAGAGCTCTCCCAGTTCAATGAACAACCCAGCACTTTTGAAAGTCTACACCTCGCCCTGACCCAAGATGCTAAGGGCCTCACCCATGGAATGCAGGGAAATCCTAAGGGCCTCACC